TGACCCCACATTTCTCCTCATAGAGCCCAGCCTCCCAGATAATCTGTTCTGCATATAGGTTGAAAAGGTATGGAGATAGGATGCATCCCTGGCGTATGCCCTTCCCAACTTTGAACCATGCAGTGTTCCCTTGCTCTGTTCTGACGACTGCCTCCTGGTCCAAGTATAAGTTTCGCATTTACATGTATTTTAAAACCAAAATTAAGAAAATTATTTACAGTACAGAACCAGACCAGGTAAAAGTAAAAAGTTACAATATTTTATCAGCACTACAGTCCCATGACATGAAAAATGATGAGTATGCTCAGGAACGCGTACTAGAATTAAACTTCGGCACTGGACGTTTTACACTAATCCTTACAAAAACATGTTATTAAGTATGATCCTCATATTATTAATGAGGAAATTTTACAGTAAGGCTCACAGAAAGTGAATTCATTTGCTTTTAATTGCCTGGTTAACCCACAGCTGAGCCAAAGAAACTGAAACTGCCAGTATCTAGTACTCAAACACTCTTCATGGAAAAGAGAAAATTATTTATCTTGTTATGACAGACTACTTGAGGAAGAAATAATTCACAAACCCAACTATTAAAATACAACCATCGAAAGCAAAGTTATAGCCTCCAAACTCATCAACAGAGAAGAGCTCCATTATTTATGCACCAAAATAGTAACATTAGTTTGTGCAATCACCAATTACTTATATAAGGATCTGCTATCCGTTTTCTTAGACACCTTTAAGCTTTCTTGTCACAACTCCTGCAGAACCTGGTCTCCTAATGAAAGTATTCATCTGCAAGCTACAAAGACAGTGAATGAAGACAAAGTGACAGGAAAAATGTCACCAACAGGAACACAAAACAGATAGTGCACGCAGATGAAGGGAAGATGAAGGAAGGTCTATCTCATGAACCTTGGAGAAGGAGCAGACATTCTCTGTCCTCCCAACCCCTTGGACTCTCTAGACCTTGAAACTGCAGAACTCTGACTATGAGTTTCTGGTGGGTCAAATCAGAAGTCTGTTCTCCTGAGGTCCCTCAAGTTTCTTTGTCTTTGTAAAGTGATTAAGGTACAAATATTAGTGCCAGCAACATCACTGTCTCAAAGGGTTTTCTAAATACGTGTGGATAATTTTGACAGTCACAGTAATTTAGGGAATACCTTAGGTATCTCAAACAAGCTCCAAAGCTCTAAATGACCAACAATCAATACAGAACCAGCCAGCATCCCACACAACCATGGTTCTTGCACGGCTGTCAAACATCACTTAACTTGGGGGGGGGGGGGAAGCCAGTTTGTGAGCTCTGGTGGCCTAGTGGCAAGAAGCTGCACTGCAACCCTGAAGGTATGCAATTCGAGGTCACCAGCTGTTCCACGAGAGAAGGATGGGCAATCTCCTGCCATATGATTAACTAACTGCCTCTGAAAACCCACCAGCGGGTCAGTTATGAGTCGGTTCCAACTGTATAGTATACAACAACAAGCTGTGATCCTAACAACTTTATAGATGGAGATGACTAAATTATTCAGCTTTTAACATGCACTGAATTCTCCAGAATTCTTTTGCTCAGAATTTTACAAACAGATGTTCACCATTTCTGGAAATCAGACTATTGTGGCATTGGAATCACCTTGCTCAGATCACATTTGTGGCTTCCAGATTCTTCGTGATTCTACACGTAAGCGTGGGCAATTGACATGACATCTTCTTTACACTCGCTGAAGCATTACCTATTAAGAAACATTTTACTTTGTATTAAACTGCCTTTCCCTCATTTATCTTGTATGTTTTTGTTTTAAATTACATTTTTAAAAAAACCCAACAGCAACATCTTTTGAGCATAATTTGGGTGAAAGTTTACAAAACAAACTGATTTCCCATACAATAAATATATATTTTATTTGGAGCACATTTCATGCTATCCCGAAAATGTAATGGCATTCTTCCCACTTCCCTGCTGTTGTGTGGGTTTTTTTTTTGTTTGGGTTTTTTTTTTATTTTTTTTTTAGCTTTATATCAGGATCTGAGTGAAAGTTTACAGAACAGATTACTATTTCATCCAACCATTCAGGCCTATTTTGTTTTATGACTTTGATTACAATCCCTGCATTGTAGGAACATTTTTGCCACCATCTCTCTGTGGTGCTTTCCAAATACCTCTCTGTCCTTTCCCTTCCTGCCATGTGAGCTCTATCCCTGAGCAAATGTCGCCCTTTTTATCAAGCAGAACTGAATTTTCTAAGGTGTATCCAAAAATGACATGGAGCACCATGTCAACAGAGAACTGCCAGATGTGCATGCTGGGTTTAGAAGAGGCTGTGGTACTAGGGATATTATTAGCTAATGTTAGATGGATCTTGGCAGAAAGCAGAGAGAGTACCAGAGAAATTTGTATCTGTGCTTCATTGTGTATCTGTGGCTTTTGACTGTGTGGATCACAACAAACTGTGGTTGACCCTGAGAAGAATAGGAATCCCAGAACACTTGATTGTGCTTATGCGAAGCCTATACTCGAACCAAGAGGCAGTCATCAGAACAGAGCAAGGAGACTATGCATGGTTCAAAATCGGGAAGGGTGTCTGCCAGGGATGTATTGTATCTCCATAGAGAACAAGATCATCTGGGACACTGGGCTGTACGAGGAGGAATGTGGCATCAGGACTGGAGAAAGATTCATCAACAATCTATGTTATGCAGACGACACAACCCTGCTTGCTGAAACTGAGGAGGACCTGAAGCGCCTGTTCCAGAGGGTCAAAGACTGCAACCTTCAATAAGTATTGAAGCTCAACATAAAGAAAACAAAGATTCTCACCACTGGGCCAATTGACAGCATCAGTATGGATGGTGAAGAGATTGAGATAGTTAACAGTTTTAGTTTGCTTGGTTCCACAGTCCACACTCTCAGTACCAGCAGCCAGGAAATCAAGAGACGAACTGAATTGGGAAAGTAAGCTGTCAGGGACCTCGCCAGAATACTGAAGAGCAATGACAGGCTGGAGACGAAGGTGTGCCTGATCCGGGCCATATTCTTTGCAACTGCACGCTATGTGTCAGAGAGCCGGACAGTGACTAGGAATGACAGAAAGAACACTGATGCCTTTAAGCTGTGGTGCAGGAGAAGAGTGTTGAACATATCGTGGACTGGTTGGAGAACAAACAGGTTCGTCCTGGAGAGGGTGAAATAGGGCTGCTCTCTGGAGTCAAGGATTCTGAAGCTTTGTCTGACATACTTTGGGCATGTTGTAAGGAGGGAGCGGTCCTTGGAGACGTACATCCTGTTTGGGAGGATGGAG